ATTAACTTTTGTGGTCATAAAAAACGAATATTTCACCAGATTCTGTTTGTTTATGAATGTAAACAGGATGGAATATCTGTCAATACAACTACTTGGAAGAAATGTACATAAATGGACTGAGAAAAAAATGATCGTAATCTTTTGATTTCGTCTGGTGAATTGTTTAAATAACAAAAAGACATTAGATTATCATTTCCGGCTAGTTTTGAATTTCGCAACAATCTGAATCATGGTTTTATATGAAGTGGTACTAAAAACCTTAAATGTTCACCTTCTATTTGAGTTTACTATAACAGCTTCACTTCTGGTGTATGCTAACAATCTCCAAAACTGTTCGAATTCTGACAAACAGCCGAAGTAGAAAAAGGATCAGTGCAATAAACAGAACTAAGCAATGCTGATTAGTTTCTACAGAATTCTACAGTTATTTATTGTGTTTTTAAAACAAAGTTAATAATTCACCTCACAATATGCCAGTGTGTACAATATGTAGTCCAGCACCAGTCAAAATGCACACTGATGTTCATGATAAATTATTATTACTCAAGTTGATCAATTCAAATGTTTGTCTTCATTTTTCAACTCCGGTTACCATAAATAGAGCGAAACACTTATCTGGAGTTGTTATTAATACATAATCATGCAGATTGTCTCTCGGTAAACGGCTGACAAACCGCATTATCTGACTCTTCTAGGTATTATTTTGTATACACGATTTAATAGTCAGCATCATGATTTTCAGTATTTGTTCAGTGGAGTTTGAACTATGTTTGACATAGGACAGACGTTCACAGTTGCGATGAATGACGCTTGTATAATATCCCTTATTAACTGGATTCACTGCACACCAAATTCAGTGATCTGAAAGTTAAGTATTCGCATCACAAACTGAAAGTCGCTGTTTCTATCCATTGTGAATTGGTAAATAAGTACTATCGATGAATGTTACATTAAGCTAAAACAGCTTCACAATACTTTCAGTTTTTCAATGTTGTATGATCAGTACTGAAACATGATGTCAACTTTGAATTCTTTACAATTTCCCCTTAGTTATATAGTCACGAAGAAAGAAAATCATTCGTATTATTAGTATATTTTTAATATATTCAAATGTTTTTCTACAGTTATTTGTCTATTTTAGTTGATTTCAACAACATCCATATGTTTAACGAGTTTGATGGGAAAAAACGTGTGGATTATAATCATTATATCTGTTGTGTGGAAGTAACAGATATACATACATATGTATATACACCTAGGTATTAGCAATCCGCTTGATTGTATTTAAATGAAATATCCTTAAGAAATATTCATAACTGAACACAAATCAGATTCATTTATTATGTGTAACAAATACTTCCTCTTATGATATATACTTAACTGCTATGACCTTAATGGTAATAAATATAGTTCATTAAACAAATTAGGTTTTAAAAAAAAGTCATAAAAGTAAGTTTGTGGTGATTTTTAAAATTACAGAATAATTTTCTACTAGTCAATATATAGAGTGTAATACATTTTTGGGAGATCTAAATGTTCGGTGTTTGATTCTGTATGTATCAATGAAACATGCTGTTGAGGAATTAGCAGCTAGAGTCGAAGTATCATGTGATAATTCCTTGTTTTCAATGACCGACATCTAATAGAACATTCATCTCAATTTTACTGCTTTGTTAATGATATCGTAACCTTGTTGATACCGTGTGATTGAATGATTTCCAACTGATTGATGATTGATAGAATGAGATATTCAGGGGTAAAATGGTTTTTATACATTTGACTATATACCTATCAAGGTGATATGTGAATGTGGGAAGTGAAACATATTAAGGAACGAGTGACGATCATAACGTTAATGACGTGACAAACAGATTAGTGATAATCTGATCAAAATGAGCTAATTAACAAATATGATACTAGTGAAAACAGATTCAAACTATAGAAACAGTTTCTCTGAGTAATAACGATAGATGCTTATAATATCATTTTCTAACATGTAAAGACAATTTAACTAAGAGAAATTTCTTCTCAGTGAATTTATTTGCTTAAGGTGTAAAATCATGTTAATAGTTATTTACCTTGCTAGAGGTTGTAGCCTCCAATTGGTTAGTTGTGTCATTTTAAAAAGTATTTGTTTAAAATATTTAAGAGTTTTATATATCCAATATAATAGACTGTAATTAAATGAGTAAAAATATCCTTATTTCATGAAATGTTAACAAAAATCAAATATCGTAGTTGAAAAAAATCTCAACAATCCTCATTGTGACTCAGTAGCCTAATAAAAAAAATAGTTTAAGTTTGAAATGAATCATACTGAATTATAATCACACAGTGAATATTAGAACTTGGATTCAGGATGATTCAGCTGAACAGTTCAGAATAACATGAAATAGTAGTCTAGGGTTTTACGGATATCTGTAATCTAAATATGCTAAAACATGATACAGAATGTCAATATCAGCAAACATTAGTTACACTTCACCAATGAACTTCATACTTATTGAACAAGTTGGTAATTGTCCGCTGAACTCATTAGTTTGGTGGACAAAAGTCAAACGTTTAAGACAAAATGCATGGACTTTGAATTTCTATGTCAACATTGTTAAAAAGATAGAGATACATTTAAGGGAAGAATCTCAAATAGGACTAGTAGATCATTTTTGAATCTGTTGTTTGCTACTATCCAATAATGTGTGACCAAAACCTGTTCACAATGAACGAAAATTTATCAGAAACGCTGATTTTTTGGAATGGTAAATTCTGATTTAATCTCATCTACAAATAAAGTACTTCTGTTTTCATTATTACATTGATGTTTGAAGAAAAATATATTTTTAAGGAAACCTTCAAAGAAAATCATCATAAGAAACCAACATCTCGTTGATCCTGAAAGATATCAATGACGAAATTTCAGTCAACTTTACGTATTTAAATTTGAAGTTTAAAAAATTATTAGGATACTTCGGTTCCGTTGTATAATAAATATAAATGAAATAGTGTGAACAGTAACAACAATTCCTCTAATTTGAAATTTATTAAAATTATCTAGTTAGCAGTATAGTCTTTCTTAACGAAGATTCGTTAGTCACTGTTCAGATTTTATTAGTTAGTTATTTTGACTTACAGCAAAGGAAGTATAAAATTTCTGGATAAATTTCACTTTGAACTGTTATTAGGCAAAAGATCAAAGAAAATGTATCAATCTATTAATTCTCTCTTTGGAACACAAAAGCCATGACCTAATAAGCCTGTTATCTAGCACTGTACTTATTGATTAATAAATCACAGTTCATCTGTTCATACGTTTAAGTTTAGTTCATGTATGATTCAACACAGTTCTTATCCAGCATTGGATAAGATCATTTGTTCTTAGTGAAGTGTGTTCACATGTATTTACTTTTACCCTAAACTGATCAGTTGAGTTAGTGGTCATAGGATTCTATTTTCTCTCAATGTGCTGTAAGCTTGAATTTCAGTTTAGCCAACTAGGATTCATTACCGAACCTTAGAAACAAGCTAGTGAGATAGGTTTTATCGACTATTGTGTTCATTAGTAAGACAAGACAGCCATTCAGTGCTAACTAGGTGTATTTTGATAATATAAAACAGCAAAAACCTGTATTCGACAAACAAATCATAATAAAAAAGATTGTACTTATCGATGATTGTCGATAATCCGTATTCCCACCACCGATTCGGTAACATGATCGTATCAATTCAAAGCCAGTCAACATTAAGCGCACAATTATCATCAGTCACTTTCGTTTTGTAGTCAGTAATTGTAAACAGTAAGTAATTTTTAACACAAAATGGTGTCAACCAAATAGTACACACTGTAGCTCAATAAATTTTCTAAACATTCTTTCTTTAAAATAAAATAATTTTGTGTTTAAAATGTTTAGAATATATTGGAAATCCTTAGGTGAAACTAAAGTACTATTACTTTTAATGTAGTTGACAGTGATCAATAGCGTTCCATTTTTACAAAACCAATGACTCGTTTAAATCAACAGTTCACCTTACCTAAAGTGACTAATTCGCGAACTAAATTACTTGATACGGATACCTTAGCTAACATTCATACATTTGTCAAGAATCTAAACTGAAACGGACCGTACTATTTTTAACAGAAACTGCTAGCCTAATACATCTAATTTAGCATCATGGTCATTAATCTGCCACAGATCATTTGAGACTTTTCCCCGTAGATAGTAAATTTAGTAATCTTATTCTTAAGCGTTTTGTTCTCGATGAATGTGAATGGTTTTCTTCGTGGTTAATCTTATGCACATTGTAATTGAAAAAGTAGGATCATGTCATTTTGTTCAATTCGATCTTATCTACACTATATATATATATATATATATATATATATATATATATATATATATATATATCAAAGTTAACTGAATTGAAAATTACAATAAACACTGTCCAATTACTAACACTAATTGATTTATTAAATTTACAAAAATCATTTTCACAGGTATTGTAATTTTTTTCTTGTTCTTAAATAAAATAATAAGAAATGTTAATTACAATGTTAATTAATGAATGAAATATTTTTCTATCTACTTACAATTCTAAAATATATTTATATATTTATGTTCTTATATATATATATATATATATATATATATATATATATATATATAAAACTGCAGATGAACAGTTAATACAACATTATTGATCATTGAATATCTTGATTGTCTTTAAACAAAAAGGAAAAATAAAAGATTATAACTCTTTGCAACGGTGTCAAGTGTTTTGTTTTTCGAAATAGATTTAGAAAAAAAAACACCAACAAAGAAGTGGAATAATAAGTTTACAATCTAGGAAATAACTTTATTATTTTTTTCAAACTGTAATAGCAGAATATGATTTTGAGTAGTGATAGTAGTAGTAGTTGTTGTTGCATAGAATTATACAATCATCTCATTAGTCGTTTATTACAACTTTCATATATAAACAAAAGCAGTGAACAAGTAAACAAAGAAGCTAAGGAAAAATCTGAATATAGAATAAAAACAATTATTGTGAAGAGTATTTATTATTTGTCACAAGATAAAATGTCACTTGTTGCAATAGGTATCTATCTACATTCCAAATAATCATAAATCTTATAACAGTTATGATAATTATTTAGGCAAAATTTACAAATTGTTATTATGACTAGCAAATTATGTTTTCTTTGTTCAACTTCTAATGAATAATTGGGAAATTCGTTAGGCGAATATTTATATTCATTCAAAACTGGTAGCTAAACATAAGTTGTATTAGTCTGTGTGCGTGTGTGTGTGTGTGTGTGGTTTTATCATGATGAAGTTTGTTCTAAGAGTTCTGAATTGATGAAAATTCATTGTTTTCTTTCCCGGCCATTGATTGATTGATTGATTGATGGATGGATTGATTTAGTTAAACTTAATGAATAGATTACATTGAATCATATACTCATACATAATTCATTCTTTTAGCAATTGGTTTTTTAAGTTTATTATTATTGGTTTTATTAGTTTTATTATTTCTATTATTGTCTTTATTATGACTACTGTTGCTGTTGTTGTTGTTGTTGGTGGTGTCTTTATCATTTTGTTGTATTGACAATGTCAGTGATGTAGATTTACGTCGTACAGTATTAATTTCACAATTCATATGAATTTTCTTTTTTGATTTCATTGTCTTAACTTCCCAATTAGAATCTTCCAGTTCATCATCTCCATCATCAGCACTGGACATCAGGTCATCATCGTTTTCATTGTTGTCATTTTGTATTACATCAGAACTATTCAACACTGTACAACATGGTATATCTGTTGAAACTTGTATAGAATTAGGCAATATTTCTTCAGAAACTATAGACATACGAGAGTAAATATAATTTTGTTCAGAATGATTTTGATTTATTTCCATAGATTCTATAACTGGGGAACAACGACTTGGATGTGAAGAATTTGTATGATCATTATCATTATTATTGTCATTATTATCAAGTGCATGACTTGCAGATGATAATTGATCATCAAACTCTTCTCCATCTACCCATATTTGAGGCGTTGGAATCAGTGACAATTGAGAAGGCAAAAGAGAATTGAGAAACTGATCCGTTGCTAATGGATACATCAAACTTGGTCGATGTTCAATATCCAATTTATCACTGCTCAATTTCTTTTTACACGACATTGAATTATTATTGGATATGTTATTTAGATTTTTATAGCTATTCTTTCTTTCATTAAGTTCATGTACAATTGTTTGACGAGTGAATACATTAGGAAGTTTTTGATTTTCTGTTAACAATTGCATTGAATCAGTTGTTTGAGTTTTAGGTACACCAATCGGTTTACAACTTTTTTTATTGATTAAAGTTGTTGGTAATAAACGTTTTATAGATCGTGTACAAATTTCCATCATATTCGCTAAACTATTTTTCATACTATCATTTTTAGTAATTTTACTTCCACGTATTATTCGTCGATTGATGTTACGTGGTTTTCTACCTGGAAGTGGTAGACCACCTTTATCGGCAGCTACACCTAAGCCTGATTTAGTTCCGCTGATACCACCTGTAGCTTCCATATCTTTTCGTAATGTTTTCAAGTATTTATCTTCCATCAATTGATTCTTCATATATTTATAATATGTATTAAAATTATTCCCAACTATTGGTATTGCTAATCCAGTTACAATACAACCAGAAATAGCTGTTAGTGAACCAACAAAGTAGCCAGCTCCACCTTTTGGATGCATATCTCCATAACCAACAGCTGTCAATGTGATAATTGACCACCAAAATGATTGAGGTATGTCAGGAAATGTATCATTTACACGATATTCAGCTATATACATCATAGATGAAAATAAAAACATACCATTCATTAATAGAAAACCTAACAGAACTAATTCTGGTATACTTTTTTTCACTGTCAATATAAGTACTCTTAATCCACGGGATATTTTTGATATTTTAAAAATACGTAGTATACGTAATGCTTGTGTCATTGATAAAATATTCAACAACCATAAATATCCACTCAATTCAATTTTCAATTCTACATTATTTGTCATTGTTGTTTTAGGATAATAGTAATAATAATAAAATAATGACATATATACCCAATAACTACTTAATATCACCATATCAAATACTGATACAATAGATGAAAGAAATTTTGGTTTATCTGGAGCAAGTAGTACTTTGAGCAGAAATTCAGTAGTAAATAAACAATTCAATGAAATATCGAATGTAACTAATCCTTCCGATGGTTCAGTGGAACAATCTTTTTGTATTTTAGGATTTGGATGCCATAATGAATCATAACAAATCGATATTGGATGATCAAATGTTTTATTGGATTTTGTATTTATCGTTGTTATTGTATTCAATGTACCAGGTGTAGTAGTTAGAAAAGTTTGATATGATGATTGTCTGTTTGTATGAAGTTGTTGAATCATACGGTCATGTTCTTTGTGATTATTATTGTTATTATTATTCGCATTAGATCCAACTGTGCTAACTGACTGTAAACTATCATATGATGATGATGTTGATGACATTATGGTGGATTTTGTTCGGAATACTTCATGTGTTGATAAACAATAACACATTACAGATGCAATCATTAGCACCAGTAGAACAGAAGCCCAAATCTATGAAAAAAATAAATAAATAAATTATGATAGTTTTTTTGAAACAACAAGCAGGCGATTTCACAACTAGTTAAATTGATGAATATAATGGCTTGATATTATGATTGGTAATGGTTGGCAAAAGTGTGGAAAAGTAGAAACTTGTAAAGATTTATTCCATCTTGGTTTGGTACTCTTTAATAAATCACTTTCACATCAGAATCTTCGAGTATCATTGTGAACATGATACTGTTAATTATTGTTGAAGATATGGACAATACGTACTTTTTCCAAATTTTCGTATTTAGTAAGTTCTTAATAAAAAAAATTATGTGTTTATTTATACATATGTTAGCAATATCCCACTTACAGATGTCACAATGTTACGTACGTTATTGCGGTTAGGTAAACTAGTTTTTGTAATCAATATAAACAAGCAGACACGTACCAGTTAATACAAATACTGCATTTTACCTTTTTCTCTCTTTTCCATAGTAGTTAGTGATAAGTTTTAAAGTTGTCTGCTATTCATTTTACCATATCTTTCTTTGTATGTGTGAAACTAAAGCTTTAGGTTGACTTGGTGATTTGTAAATGTACGTGTGTGTGTGTGTGTGCAAATATGCAGTTGTTATTGACTTGGTGTTTATTCACCTGTCTAATTAATCTGTCACCTAGAAAGTAATATGTATGAAATTTTTGTCTCATTTTAGTGAATTATTCAATAAGATATATGTGCTTACGCTACTACATAAATACCAGTTAATTAAAAGAAATATATCTTAGTAATGGGTATATATGTACATATTTGAACTGAACAAAGTTTATAAGTTTCGCTTGTCTAATATTGACTAGTATACGTAAGGTTATAACACAAAGTGATTTTACTTAAGCAAAAAATGTACTTCTAACATTTTACCAGGATTAGAATCTTGAACATTTACGTCCCACAGTGATCATCATGAATTCAAACCGTCGACTGTCTAATTAAGGTTTGTCTTTCAATGTGAATTATGAAAATTTAACAGTCTCCATCAGCACAAAATAATATTATGCATGCATAGGATTAAAAGTAATAGACTTTCATTTGATTTGCTGACTAGTAGATCTCTTTGAATTCAAGATTTAGTCTATAAATAAATGATTCGATTTTAATAATTTATAGGAATCTATAATTAGGGAAATTAGCATTTTTAAATTTGAAGACATGATTATCGAGTTGTTATGTTTAAATATACATGCTCTTTGAAGAAAAAAAACTAATTACAGTTTTTATTTTTAACAAGAGTTATTACTGAAATGTTTTATTGCAAATAGTGATTAGAATATTCTTGTAAACTTTCATTTAAACAGTATTACTGTGCATCGAGGTATACATCCATTTATTGTAGATATATTGTGATGATAAATGTTCAATCTCTTTTTTTTTTCTAAATTTCTAATTCGTTTTAAATGTTTGCACACATTATTTTCGTCATTATGTTCTAATTGTCGTAGACATGAGATTTGTACACGAACTAATAATTATCATAATAAATCTAGGTAATTAGACATGTTTACTAACAAATTACTACCTTACTTACTTGCCTAGTTCATCCTATACACACAGGTTTGTTAGTTTATCTAAATGTTATGTAAAAAAATTGATAAATCTTTCAAGCGTTTTGTAAAGAAATGAAATCTTGTGAAATGACAAGAAACGGTCACCTATCTAGATAGATATATATTGTTTTTTTTAGCTTAAACAATAAATCTAATAGAATTATACAATTTTCTGAGACAAACAAGTTACGAAATTAGTTGTTACTGTTTGTATGTTGATAATTTCATTAGCAGAACAATTAGGCATAATGAATTATTTGGAAGTGTCTTTGATGAATGATTTACTTTAGATCGCCAACCGAAATTCAACATTTGTGTAGACAACAGTGAGTTACCCATCCAAGACAATTTTGAGAATCGATTAAAGTTAACCATATACACCGATGGGTGTCAATTCAGTCGGCTAGAGGTTATTAAATGCTCACCGCGAGATCGAATATCTACAGTCTGATACCCTGTGAAGTTATATATGCAAAAACTGATGAGGAGTCATGTAACAAGACAAACTATCGATACATTGATGCCGTATTTTCGTTGATTGTTTAACCTGAAATTAGATAAATTGGTATAAACTACAAGAAAAAAACAACTTTCATTTCATCATTATCCAATCTAATATTGTGTGGTTCGATTGTGATTCATCAAGTTGGGTTGATTTGTTGTTTACGCTAAAAACATAGATATGTTGATTTTTCCTATTTCCTATACAGAAATGACATTTTAAGTTTTTTCAAGTTGATTTTGTTATTACCAGTTGTTGGCAGTATTTTTAAGTCATTTATTTAGTTAAATAACACTTTATTTTCTATGGTCCTCTTTTCAATGGTTTTTTTATATTGAATAAATGTTTTGGCTGCTGCCTTTTTGTTTTTCTCGTGACAACGATAAATTAATTTTTTTTGGAAAAATAGTGAAATTATTTTAATGACATTTGAATCTTTGCCATTTTTATTTTAATTGTTTTTGTAATTGAAATGGTTTTATACTATTTTATATAAATTAGTTTTTGTTTACTGAATTTGTTGTCAAATTTTTACTTTAGCATCTTCAAAAATCAATAGAAGGCAAGTTTTTCATGAAAAATGAAACGTATATCCTGGATTAATTTTGTAATCACGAACAAAAATGTCGTCATGTGATTTAGACTTTATTGTAATTGAAAATTGTAAAGCTGTAAAGCTTCAACCAGCCAGTAGTTGATGGATTAGCTGATTGAGGGTAACTGATTGGGAGCCAACTACCTAGGTTTTTAATATAAGCCAGAATGTTCCAACCAGATACATTTGAAATCGAAAAGTAACTAATAATCTTCGTTATAGTAATTTATTCATTGTCTTTGTTATCTGAATCTACCACAGAACTATACAGTTTGCAACTGACAAGATATTTGTACTGAGTTATCATTTGGTAATAGTCATTTTTATGTTGAATGGGTTGGTTCAATGGTAGCAAAAACTGAAGTCACATGCCTCGTACAGACATTAACAGTTCAGTAAGTCCAGTTGAGACAAATGAATTTAATAGTGGTTCACAGGCTAATCCCAAGTGTCATAACTGTGAAGCTGAGTTGTATGAGATTCGATCAACCAAAAAGACTGAAATCCTTCAAGACTATAGGTTTACCTTACCAATCATTACCAAGTAGCACAAATCTAACAATAAGCAGGATTTCCTGTTGACAACCTTCAACTACTTAGTATCTCAGAAGAGTACACATGGTGTCAAGTCAATTGAACTAGAAGTCCATTGACAACTTGATTGATAGAGTTTTCATTAGCATTAAAGGATTCGACAAATGTGTCAATGTCTACTACTCAATAATCAATCAATTAATTTATCATCATTGCTATTCAAGTCAGTGTTATTTTATTTTTATTCAGTAACAGAGATTTATTTGGTTACTCAGTGTGGCATATGTAGTAGACATCTATTTCTATTACAACGTTCCACATTAAACTGATTCATTCATTTCTTTATTCTACTTCAACTTGATATATAGAAAGTATATCAGCGAAAATTTTTAATTTTATTTGTAATGTTGAGTCATGTATAGTTTTCGGCCACTTAATATAATCAGCATGTTGTTCTGATGACATTTTATCAATCACTTCTTACATTGTGTTCTTCGGAGATAGCATCAAAGAAAAAAGTACTATCCGACTCCTGATATATACAGACATGTCTTGGTGATGAGTACGAACTTTTATGAATTCTGTCACTATTTGATGAGATTAGAGTGTACAGTTTTAGCCCTGATTAACCACCAAAGTAATTTGAATAGTGATCACTGAAAATACCACCTTCTGTGAGATATTCTATGTTTAATAGATAACTAACATGGGAACAACTTAAGGGCTAACCAAAAACTCATTGCACATAAAGTATATATATACACATATATTAGTGATTGAAATTTAAATGCATGAACCATTAGATTGAAACGTTAATAAGTCCAGAGATCACTTAGACGTCATCTTTTCAAATATACCATTATATGACGTTAATCCAGATAAAACACACAGTAATATTGTGCTTCCTAGAGTTCAATTTATTTTCAAGTTCCCTATGAATGCCATGTTGCTGATCATGTACAAATAAATTAACCCCTAATCTGGAGTGTCAGTGTTCTTTCATGCTAAATAACAAGTATTGATAAGGGTTTTTAACGATTCCTTCAACAATATCACTGATGTTAGCTATAATGTTAAACTATTTCTTGAACATAATCCCATGAAATATTGTCAACTCATGTTCAAATATATATGTAAATATATTTCTCTCTTTTAATTACAAATATTTTTCTATTGTATTCATAATATTTGGAAAGGAAAATTCTTTTATTTAAGTTTACAATAAAAACCAATATATTCGAAGTTCATGTTATGTAGTCATTTTTTTTTTGGTTTCATGATTTTTAATGTTAACCACACTGAACAAACTAGTAGTTCATGTCTTGATCTAGGTCACTTATTCATTCAAATTGTTTTTTTTTTTGAATTTTTATTTTAAACAAACAAGTATCTCAATGTCATTCAAATGTTACATTAGTTTCCGATTTTATCTTTTGAATAAATGAAAAAAAATAAATGTATTTATATTTATTCGGTGAATCATTTTAGTCATTGTTTTATATGTGTGTAGTATTTTCGTTTTTTTTTATTTTTAAAATAACAACAACAACATTCAATTCATCATTGAAAAGGCACATGATTAAAATGTTAACTAATAAAATAGAGATCAGTAATAGTCCATGTGATGTGTATTCTATTGACGACAATAAAAAAACGAATTATAGATAAAAGTATATTTAGTGATTTCTTCTAATCGAGCAAATAATAACTTTATGTTTTAGTGTCAAATAAACAAGGTCCATTTTATAAACTGTTATTTTTTTCTAATGAGTATATAGTCACCAATAT